GTAACAGTGGGCTTGAATCATGATGTCATGATGCCAATTTCTTCATTTCTGCATCATTGAGTCCATTTCATTTGCTTTGGTGTATTGTGCAAATTGAGCCAACTGTGATTTATCCAACAAATCATGATCACAGTGACTTGTGTGAATCCTGTCCAAGTTTGAAAAGCCATTGTGGCTGTTAGGGATACACCCTAGCAGAACGTGCAACGGCAGTCAAGCAGACAGGCAAATATGTGAGATAAACGTTTTTGTAGTTTGCACTCAGTAAAACAGATACACTGTGCAAGTTAAATAGTTTATTTCAGTTAGAGTTTAAGCATAGTCCGTCCGGGGATTATTCATTTAGCAAAGTCCAGTGTCGAAAAAGAGGTCAGTAAACTTACAAATTATCAGTCCAGCAATAAATCTCTTCGCAGTAGAGATAAGAAGAAATTAAACCTCCTTTCTTCCTTCGCCGTTGAATAAATCAGTAGCAGGGAAAACACGCAGTTAGCAAACCATCAACCATCAATCCAATAAGCCAGCAAACAGTAAGCTAGCAAGGTTCTCTTGCTTCCTCTTATGGTGGTTTTACAACCGCACCCAAAATTACATGCTTTGCATTTTAAAGTGACACACACTTTAAACTCACTATCACAGTTTATATATATTATTTTACCCAAACTACGTTAGGTAACCTATGTTATTCCTAACAGTGGCAATACCCACCAGTGGAGCATATTGGCACTGCTTCTTTGAGTCTATGCTCTGGTTGTTGTCAGCTTGTTAGTCAGCTTTGCTGTCCAAGGAATACACAGGAACCTTCTCCTGCATCTCAGCTCAAACAAGTTGATTTTCTTCCTTCTTGCTTTTGTTGGTTCTCAGGTTGAGAGAGAGGGTCTGAATCAGAATCAGAATAGAGCTGGAAGGGACCTTGGAGGTCTTCTAGTCCAGCCCCCTGTTCAAGCAGGAGACCCTATACCATTTCACACAAGTCCAGTCTCTTCTTAAAAACCTCCAGTGATGAATCACCCACAACTTCTGGAGGCAAGCTGTTCCACTGGTTAATTGTCTTCACTGTTGGGAAGTTTCTCCTCAATTCCAGGTTGCTTCTCTCCTTGATTCGTTTCCTTTTGTTGTTTCTTGTCCTGGTGCTTCAGAAAATAAGCTGACCCCCTCTTTTTTATGACAGTCCCTCAAATACTGGAATACTACTATCATGTCATCCCTGGCCCTTCTTTTTTCTAGACTGGCCAAACCCAATTCTTGCAACCGTGCTTCATATGTTTTAGTTTCCAAGCCTGTAATCATCTTAGTTGGTCTTTTTTTTTTTGTAATGTGTACTGAAGTACTGGATGCAGTACTTCAGGTGTGGTCTTTGTTAGGGATATACACCCTAGCAGAATGTGCAACGGCAGTCTAGCAGGCAGGCAGATATGTGAGATAAACGTTGTTGTAGCTTACACTCAGTAAGACAGATACACTGTGCCAGTTAAATAGTTTTTATTCCAGTCAGAGTTATAGCATAGTCAAAACAGTCCATATATCATACACTAGTTCAGTCCATCCAGGGATTAATCAGTTGCAAAGTCCAGTGTCGTAAAAGAGGTCAGTAAACTTACAAATAATCAGTCCAGTAATATATCTCTTTTGCAGTTAGAGATATGAAGAAAATCAAACCTCTTTTCTTCTCTTAGTAATAGCAGGGAAAACACACAGTTATCACCATCAATCCATCATTGTCAGCATTCCAGTAAAAGCCAGCAAACAGTGAGCTCTCTTGCTCCCTCTTATGGTGATTTTACAACCGCACCCAAAATACATGCTTTTGCAGTTAAAGTGACACACACACTTAAACTCACTAACATAGTTTATATATATTATTTTACCCAAACTAAGTTAGATAACCTATGTTATTCCTAACAGTCTTACTAAGGCTTTATAAAATATCCCAGATATATCCAGGAACCCTCTATGGTTGAGTTCTTCATATGTTTCAATTTGGGTAAACTAACTAAGCTGAAGTTTCTTCCCAGTTCAACTTCTTACCTATAATTCTGCACTGCTTCTTGGAATGGAGAGAAGAAGTGGTTCACAGTCTCCCAGTGAGCACGGTGGGCAAAACAAGCATCACAATGTCATTGTGCCAGTTCCACTTTTGTGTGTGTGTGCACGTCACAACATCACACACATGTTCAAAAGGGGGCAACACTTGCATAGCAAGATCACCATTTCCGTTCTGCCATTTTGATGAAACAGATGGATTCTGTAAGAGAGAGAGAGAGAGAGAGAGAGAGAGAGAGAGAGAGAGAGAGAGAGAGAGAGAGAAAGAAAGAAAGAAAGAAAGAAAGAAAGAAAGAAAGAAAGAAAGAAAGAAAGAAAGAAAGAAAGAAAGAAAGAAAGAAAAATGTACAATCTCTTTTCAGGTGAAGTTCTTGTGGGAACATGTGAGAAGATCTGGAGATATGGAATTTGAGAGAACAATTTGAAGGAGACACAGGGTCAAAGCCTCATTTCCTCCTGCCAGAGAGATGAAATGAGAAATACTGTAATTTTAGAATTGGCATAAACTAGTGTTGAGGAGATACAGATAATCTGCAGAAATGAACGATCTTATCTAAATTGTTCATTCCATAAGGTCATCTTTTTTCTTCTGTTTCCATAATAACCAAGTGTTAGATAATAACCAAGTGTTAGGTAAGAAAGACTCTGGAGACTCAGCTCGTTCAACTTCTTTTATTCGTTCTTATAGGATTGAAAACTGTAGTTGCGGTAGCTCCTTTTACAGCAGTGCTGTCCACAGCTTCGACCAGTGACGGCTGTTTATTTTCATGGTTCTGCAACTCGGCCAATCAGGGTGAGTGTGCTAATATCTTACACCCCTTGTTGAGGTATTCCCGTTAGGAGAATGTGTGCTCTCAGGGAAGCGTAATGAGAGTGATGTTGAATACCACACAATCAGCATACAGATACACTGAATAGTAAAATGTAGGTTTTACTTCCAGTAAACAGTTAATCAAAGTCCAACAAACAGTCCAAGTCATACATGGTTAAAGCAGTCAGTTTTCAGTTCAGGGATAATCCAAATAACAAAGTCCAGTATCATAAACAGTTCAGTAAACAGACTCACAACTGTTAGGTGATTAGCAATTCCTAACTCCCCTCCCCATTGGTCTAGTCTTACCCAATCCGGCCTCTGCCTAGTGTACGTAGTCGCGCAAGTAGGCAGGCTTTTGTGGGCGGTTCTGGACCTGTGGAGCTCAGTCATCAGCTGGTCCTCAAACTGTTCGGTTTGATTTATTGTTTCTCCTCTCTGGCTCCATGGAACCTTCTGGCTGGGTTGGCCATTTTGCCTCCACTAGGGGCTGCCTGTTCGTTTCTTTCCTGGGCTTGTTCTTCTGTGGCCATGCTGACCCGCCACTGGATTTTAGGTACATGTTCACGCTCTTCATTCGGGGCTATCGTTAATTGTTGAATGTGTGCCTCATTAGTTGTCAGGGCCTGTTCTTTTTGATTTTTTTGTTGGGAGAGGTTTTCCCTTTCCTCCCTGGTTGTGTTTGGTGTTTCTGCTTCTCCCCTTATCTGTCGGGCCCTGAGTTGGTCTATGTGTCTTCTCCAACTCCTTCCCTCTGCGGTTTCAACTCTATATGATTGGGGCCCTGTTACTTGAGCTACCGTTGCACGTATCCATAGGGGCTCCCCTTTGAGGTTTGGGGTGTATACTGAGTCGCCCATTTGGAATGTCCGACATGTGCTGGATGAACTTATAGGGGTGTCTGTGCTATAATGGGGGGTGTAGCCTGTATAGCTGTGATCTTAGTTTCTTTCCCATGAATAGTTCGGCAGGACTCTTGTTGGTTGTTGCGCTGGGTGTTATGTGTTGGATGCTTAATAGTTTGTCTATTTTTGCCTGTGTGTCCCATGGTCCTAATTTGATTAGTGTTTCCTTCATGGATTGCACCATTCTCTCTGCTTTTCCATTCGTGGAGGGGTGTCCTGGTATAGATAGGGAATGTCTTATCCCATTTTGTGCTAAAAATCCTTCGAACTGGGTGGCCGTGAACTGCGGCCCATTGTCAGATGCTATTATGTCCAGCAAGCCGTGTGTTGTGAATAATTTTCTAAGGGTTCTGATTACGGCTTTGGTTGTGGTGTACTGCATGATGCTGATCTCCAGCCATTTGGAGTATGCATCCACCACCACCAGGAATCTCTGTCCCTTAACTGGGCAGGCAAAATTGATATGTACCTTCGACCAAGGTCCCCTTGGCGTTTCCCATTCATGGTTGGGTACTGTGGGGGGTGCCAGTCTGGATTCTTGGCAGGCTTTGCAGGTTGACATACAGGCCCCTATCTCTTTATCCATCCCTGGCCACCACACGTAGCTTCTCGCTAAGGATTTCATTTTAACTATCCCCGAATGCCCTGCATGCAGCATTTCTAGTACATCTTCCCTTAGCTTTTCGGGAATTATTACCCTGTCCCCCCCATAGAACGCACCCCTTCAGTATTGATAGTTCTGTTTGTCGATTCCTGAAGAGTCTGGTGTCTTCTGCCGCCTCTGTCTCTGGCCATCTCCTCCCCACCCAGTTCAGTATTCGTGCCAGGATTTTGTCCTTTGCACTTGCTCTCACGATGTCGGCTGCTGTCACCGGTGCTGTTTTGAGAGTCTCTCTTAGCAATTTGGATGTGGCTGGGGCTGGGTCCTCGTCCAGTTTGGACAGGGGGCATCGATGGAGTGCATCGGCATGGTCTATGTCTTTCCCGGGGCGGTATATTAAGTCGTAATCATATGCAGCTAGGAACTCCATCCATTGTGTCATCTGGGGCAACAGAATATTTGGGGTGGCTGTGCTCCCTGCGATGATCCCCAATAGTGGCTTGTGATCGGTGACCAGAGTAAATCTCCTGCCATAGATGTATTCATGGAATTGCTTGATTCTGGTTACTGCTGCTAGCGCTTCTTTGTCAAGCTGACTATAATTTCATTCCAGTTTGGATAATGTCTTTCAATAGAATACTCTGGGGGCTTTTTTTCCGTCTGGCAGTATGTGGCTGAGGCTGCCTTCTTGTCAAGCAGTCTATGTAATGGCTCTGCAACGGTCTCCTTCTGTTGTAAAAGTTCATTAGTCCCAAGAAGGCTTATAAGTCTGTTTTGTTTGTTGGCCTGGGGGCCTCTTCAATTGCCTTAATATTGCTCTCTGTGGGGTGGATCCCTTCACGGTCTATCAGGTACCCTAGGAATTCTACTTTATTTGCTGCTAGTTGGCATTTTTCTTTTTTACACTTTTAGCCCTACCTCTTGGAATTGGCTTAACACTTCCCTTAGGCATTTTCGTCATTGTCCTTTGTCCTTTGGTGATATAAGGACATTATTGAAATAGCGCACCACCCCTTCTAACCCTTGTAGGAGGCATTCCATGAGGCTCTGGAATAGCTCCGGGGCTATGCTGCAACGATTAGTAAGCACTTGCATTTGAATGACCATCTGTGCATCACAATTGTCTGGTCTTCTGCCGTTTTGGCGTCTACTGGTAATTGTTGGTAGGCTTGTGCAAGTTCGAGTTTTGCGAAGACTTTTCCCTGCCCCAAAGAGTGCAATATATGTTGCACCAATGGGACGGGGTAAGCACTTTGTTGGAGGGCGTGGTTCAGGGTATCCTTGTAATCAGCACAGATGCGCACTGACCCATCTGGCTTTATGGGGATGACAACAGGGGTCTGCCATTTTGCGTGGTCAATGGGTTCTAGTATCCCCTGGGCGAGGAGCTTATCCAGTTGCTTGTCTATTTTTGGCCTTAGCGCAAAAGGGACTCACCTCGCCTTTAGTCTGATGTGGGCTATGGTCAGATCTAGATTAAAGGAGATGGGAGACCCTGAGTCCAATTGCCCAATTTTCCATCGAAGACGTCCTGCAACTCCTCCATCAGGCTGTCTTCCACTCGCTCTCGGTGATGCAGTTTATTCCAGTGACTTTGGTGCCTAGCAGTTTGAACCATTCTTGTCCCAGGAGGCTTGGTTGGTCCCGGTCGACTATTGTCTCCAAAGCAGGTTAGATGGGCGTTGTATTTCAGACGTTTTAATTTTGTTTTGAAATTTGAAGTTCCTGTTGGGAAAACCTTTATGGCGGAAGCCCTATCAAGGCTACCTCAATTCAAAAGTCGACGTGAACTTATTCCCTGTAACAACCATATAAACTTGTTACGAACAACGATTTTCGCAGTACTAGCGAAAGATCCATGGCTGTCAGTAAATAAAGCTTAGGTTAAAATGAAAAATAGCATACCCTGGCGAGGGGAAAAGATGTTCGTACCTGAAATACTACGGTCTATCGTATTGAAACTTTGTCATGATAACAAACAAGCAGGTCATTACGGCTTCCTCAAAACCTTATATCTAGCTAAAAGACAGTTTTGGTGGCCATCTATGAGAATGGATATTGAAAAATATGTGAAAGGATGTTCAGTGTGTGCAACCACCAAAATCAAAATTGGAAAGCCTTCGGGATTATTACAAAAGGTAGCAGAACCCACAAGACCATGGGAAGATATTGGAATGGACTTCATAGTAGATCTACCAGAAAACCAAGGATATACCGTTATTTGGACAGTAATTGACTTGTTTTCAAAACAAGCTCATTTTATTCCCTGTAAAGGATTACCATCAGCAATACGATTAGCTGTTTTGTTTATAACACATGTATATCGGTTGCATGGAGAACCCAAATGAATAATCTCAGATAGAGGAGTCCAATTCACCTCTCGATTCTAGAAGGAATTTATTCAACTTATTGGCTCATCACAAGGACTAAGGACTTTGTACCATCCATGTACTAATGAAGCGGCAGAAAGAGCTAATAATCAAGCAATATTTATGATGCTATATAACTTATCAGCAACAAATTGTGTGGAGACGTTATCATTTGCTGAAGTAGCTTATAATAATACTGCTCATAACAGTACTGGATATACTCCTTCCCACATAGTGAATGGGATGGAATTTATTCCTATTCTAGAATGGCCACATGTGGATGACGAACCGACCATGGCCACTAAATGGATTGGAGATATACAAGCTCAATGGACAGCGGTTAAAGGCGCATTGGTCAAATCAACAGAAATGTATAAAAAATATGCAGACAAGAAACAGTCCGAACAGGCCATATTAGAAGTAGGGAAATGGGTATATCTATCTACACAATATATTAACCTGGGGTTACTATGTAGAAAATTGGGCCCAAAATACAGTATATTGGTCCCTTTTGGATACTTCAAGTGATTAATCCAGTTATGGTTCGTTTACAGTTACCATCAAGGTTCAAAATAATACATCCTATTTTTCACAGTAGCCTGCTTAAACCTGCGGACATGTCACAGCTCGAACCTCGCTTGAAACACCCAGGACCTATTAGAGATGATTACTATGAAGTAGAGGACCTCCTTGATTCCTGCCGACGATAAGGGGTCCTACAATACCAGGTGAAGTGGAAAGGATATCCGGTAGCATACGCTTCCTGGGTGATTTCTGCAGATGTGTCAGCTCCAAAATTGCAAATACTATTTCATCAGCAACAACCTACTAAGGCGAGGGGGTGGGGGAGGGACGAAAACTATTCTAAGAATGTTATTAATCCTGTTAATTGCCTTCTAGGAGGAACCATGGTAGAGGGGGCAGCATGTCGGGCTTTACATCTTACCAGCGTTCTGGAGCCCGACATTACAGCTGTGCCTTGGAGCTGTGAATCCCTGATCTTCACTTTAAGCCTGGCATTGCAGCTTGGTAGCCACTTGGCTGTGGGTGACATTTCATAGCCTGAGAGCTGTGTATCTCAGGTGTAAGCTTCGGAGTGTGGGAGGGTTGTAGACTCTTTTGGCAGCCTTGGAGCTCAGATAATACAGACAGATGTCTCTTTGAACTGTGGAACTGTTTGGCTTTAAGACAGTGCTGGGTTTTAGGCGAATTGATAATTGTTATTTGGGATACTAATGGGAGGCAGGGTGGAGGGAGGAATGTAATATTAGCTTAGGCGTGGTGTAATTATGCACAGGGTAGTGGTGTGGATAATTAGGTAATGGGTGGATTAGGGTGGGGCGGATTCTAGGAAAGTGGGCAGGGGTGAATAAAACAATGTTGGGAGTTAACTGTTTTCAACGGTGACTTTTCACAGCGAAAATGGAGCCCATTTTTGGCCACAATGGCCACCTGCAGCCCTCTGCCCTCCCAACTCCATTTTTGCTGGCAGAGACACTGCAGAAGGGTCCTTTGCTGTTTCCAGGCCAACCCTACGGGCCCAATCTGAGCATCCCATGGGCCAGATGCGGCCTGCAGGCCTTGAGTTTGACACCCCTGGGTTAAGGCATTAGGCTAAAAACTGGGTGACTGTGAATTATAGCCCCGCTTGGGCATGAAGCCAGCAGTGATCTTGGGTCAGCCACTTCCTCTCAGCCTTAGGAAGATGGTAATAGCAAGCCACTTCTGAAAAACCATGCCAAGAAAATTACAGAGACTTATCCAGGCAGTCTCAAGGAATCAGATACGATTAAACAGAAGGGGAAAAAAATCCAAATATCAGCATTCCAACTATTAAACTCCAAACCAATAAACTCCAAGACAAGCATTTCCTCAAAATTCCATTTTATTAGAGTTATCATATTGGCACATCTGGGAAAACTGGAATCTGAAAGTTCCAGGTTTCCTCTTCCCAGAAGAAAATCAAAGACCCACCCCCTGCACCCATCAGTCCATTACATGGCCCAATCAAATCATCATCCCAACTGGAGACATTCCTCCAGACACTCCTCTCCAGGTGCAGGGTCGTTTGTCCTT